CAAGCTCTCAGCCACGTAGAGACCTCAGCCTATGTTTAGCCATCAAATCTTACAGCAGCAGCCTGATGTTCAATGTACGTTATCACCCTACGAGCTCCTTTCATAGTATCATAGAATCACAGAATGATTTAGGTTGGAAGGGTCCTTAAAGATCACCCAGTTCCAATCCCCCTGCCATGGGCAGGGACACCTTCCACTAGACCAGGTTGCTCCAAGCCTCATCCAGCCTGGCCTTGAACACTTCCAGGGATGGGGCATCCACAGCTTCTCTGGGCAACCTGTCCCAGTGCCTCCCTTTGGGCCAGGTATTTTGTTATTGTGTATTATTTGGTATTATTCCTACATAATTATTTGTGTATAAGCGTGGCAGCAGCCATAAGTGTGGCTTGGCAGAGAAATCGCCTCTCGGACACGCCAAGCATCCCTCCTCCAGGCTCACTGGCTATGCAGCCTACTCATGACTGCATCTCCTCCTGCTTCTCCCTAGTCCCAGAGGACATGCCCCCATGGCTTCGCTCGCCAGTGCTACCTCATCCCTCGCAGGCACCCGCCTCACGCCATCCTCTCCTGGTGAATCCCTGCCCCACGACGAGACACAGGCACGAGGGCCCATGCGGGAGGAGGGATGGGGAACCAGCGAGGAGCTTTTACCGTAGAGCAGCTCATCAAAATGTCTTCGGAAAACCCTGGGGAGCACCTGCAAGAGGCCCCATTTCTCCCTCTCTTCCCACTTCCCCCTTTGGGCTTCCTCCAGTGCAGGTGACCAACCCAGAGGGACCAGCCTCACCCAACGTGACCATTTTACGCTGCCAGAGAAGGTCAGGGAGCTCCAGGCAAGGCGGCAGGGAGATTTCCAAGGTGGGCTGCGCTTTGTGGTTTCAGCTAAGACACGTATGACGTTGCGTGTAGAGATGATTCATCCAGCAGAGCTACCTGGAGCCGTATTTAACCGACTGCTTCACCAACCTGCAGGTTCCTCCACTCCTTTAGGAAGCTGTAGGGCCATGAGAGTGCATATGAGTTGGAGAAGCTTCCCAACACATGACCAAGGAACCAGTGAGAATGCTGGAAGTTAAGGTCCTGACTCTGCTACCAGCTCCCTCCTGGAAATGGGGGGTAAAATTCCCTTAACGAAGGACGTGGTCACACTCTTGTAGAGGAGCTGTCTCCTCTCCCCAAGGGTGGACAGACCTTTACTCTCTATAGTCTACATTCCTGAAAAAAGGGACTTGGGAATGCAAAATTAAAGCTTTCTCACTTATTCTAAGCTGCTGCTGAAGACAGAGCAGGCCGATCCCGGCATCATTTGTACAAAGAGCTTGAGCAGTTGGAGTAACAGCCCATCAGATGGGCCAAAGGCCAATCAACTTGGCCTGAGCAACCTGCAAGGAACCTAGAAAGTACTTAGGAGGCGACACCGCCAGCGACATGCCATCAATTATGGATAATAATGGACATTTTTTATGGACGTCTGAGAAAAATCGGAAATAGTGTTTCTTTGGGTGAGCACAGAGACAAAAACACGACCGGGAGAAAAGCCCAGTGTGCCAAACCCTAGCACAGAAGGACATAAATTCCTAATTGCTGGCCATCCTCGTTTGAGATGCCACGCCGGTGTCGCACACCTTTGCCGTCCGCGCCCACTGCCGTTCGGACCGTAGGCAGACAGCTCTCGCCGTTCCTCAGACAGGGAAAGGCAGAACAAGAGAAGATTTACTCCCGTCCTAAATTATTCAAAAGAAAAGGGACTGCGCATCTTTAACAAGCCATCGTTTTATGAAGCAAGGTTAACATTTTTACTTGATTCAGTAGAATATTATAAACTCTCCGGGGTCCATTTGAGGACTTTCTACTTTGAGTAAAGGAACGGACTCAGCACTTTTTATATTATTTAGAGAATAAAATTAACCCTTAATGGCCCAAGCTGGTATTTCTCCTCCCCAGTTAAATATGGCCCGCTCAGCAATTTCTCCCCATATATAATTACAGGCTGCTATCCATCATCTGTAGGAGAATGCTTTTCTGACACTCTAAAAGTGACACGGTAAGCACTTTTACTAATAGAATAAATATTCTAAATATCGCTTTTATATTTTCATTTAAATTGGAATATTTTAAAAATAATTGTAGGGACCCTGCCTCCATGGCTAGCACTACGCTGGAGGGAGGCAGCAGGATGCCTGTGTTTTCCTTCCGAGGAAATGTTTATCCGGCACACAGACCCCTCCATGTGATGCCGCAAAAAGTAATTAGCCACAGACTAATTTATGAGTGTTTCCCTCCACTACTGCTGATGTCCTGCTTTCCTTAAAGCTCTCACTTTTGGCTTTTTTCCCTCCCTTTCCTTTCGCCAGGTTTTTGCTCTGTAGCTGTTTCTCCTCCAGAAGGGATGGGTCTGCCTCGCAGAAGCCACTGTCCCCGTTGTGTTTGGGTTTTGGGAGAGGCTGGTGGCTTTGCACGCTGACACCACGGTGATGGGTGCTGAGCACCTACAGTTTCATTTGTTGGGTTGGCGCCTCTGCCAACAAGAGGTACAGGGATGGAGAAAAAGGAGAAGAGCCCCTTGGGGCTCCAGCCCAGAGCAGCATGTGGATCAAAGCATCTGACTGCTCATCCCAGCAACTTCCTTGGTGAAAAGCAGCCAAAATCACAAGGGAGCTGGAAATCTCCAGGAGCAGCAAAACCATGCTTAGGCAGACAATTATCCACGCATTATCTATTAAAGAGAATAAAATAATATCATTCCATAGGCCCATTGGGGCGTATTTGGGACGGTGCCCTGCAATCTGGCAGACTTGAGGCAAACAAAATGATTGTTTAATTAACGGTTCATTTTTTCAGCCCAAAAGCCGATTTAAAGCAGAGCTCGCAAAGTTCCTGTCCTGTTTTCAACGTGGCACCTGGAGTCTCCAGCTCAAGGAGAAGGCTTTCACTGTCTCCTCCTGTTTACTTGCTGTTGGCTCGCAGAAGTGGCTGAACTAAGCCAGGACACTGATGTGGTATTTTCTTCCATATCAAACGCGCCTTAGAGGCGACCAGAAAACTCCCCAGAGAGAAGGAGACGGAGAACAGGACGGCTCCCATCGTCCAGCTGTGTTGATAGAGATGGGTCAGCATTGCACAGCAAGTCACAGAATCATAGAATGGTTTGGGTCAGAAGGGACCTTTAAAGATCATCTAGTCCCCCGTCCCGCAACAGGCAGGGACACCTTCCACTAGACCAGGTTGCTCAGAGCCTCGTCCAGCCTGGCCTTGAGTGTTTCCAGGGATGGGGCATCTCCCACCTCTCTGGAAAACCTGGTCCAGTGTTTTGACACCCTCATCATAACAGATTTCTTCCTTCTATCTAGTCTGAATCTGCCCTCTTTCAGTTTAAGACTGTTACACCTTGTCCTATCGCTACAGGACCTTGTAAAAAGTCTTTCCCTGTCTTTCTACTAAGCCTCCTTTAAGTACTGAAAGGCCACTCTAAGGTCTCCCTGGAGCCTCCTCTTCTCCAGGCTCAACAACCCCAACTCCTTCAGCCTTTCTCCATAGCAGAGCTGTTCCAGTCCTTGGACCATTTCCGTGGCCTCCTCTGGACCCACTCCAACAGGTCCATGTCTGCCTTCTGCTGGGGACCCCAGACCTGAACGCAGCACTCAAGGTAGGGTCTCAACGGAACAGAGTAGCAAGAATTACTTGTCTTGAACTGCTGGCCACAGTAGTCAATGTATGAGCAGAAATCCTACTGCATAACCCACCCCAGAAGAGAAAAGCCTGGCAGCTCTCAACAACAGCAGAAATACATCATCTCCAAAAATCTCAAAGTACACCTTCGCTTCATTCAAACCTGGTGGCAATTGGCCGGCTGCCCCTTCTAAACTACTCAGGGACTCTAGGGGACAGCATCACCTCGCAGCTTTGAGATGGTACCTGGAGAAACCAAGAGAAGGTGGTTCACGGGACTCTAAAGAAAACCACATGCTCCTCTAATGAAAGAGAGGTTCACACTATGAGGTAAAAATCTTATTAAATTAATGGAAAAAAACCAAAGAGGAGCCAGACAGGACAGTTGCTTCGATTCCCAGGGGAACACCAGCATGCCCAACCCTCTCCCTTAGCCACGAAGCAAGGAAAGGTGAGATCCTGCCCTGTGGCTCTGTGCCACCGAGGAGCTGAGCTCGCTGCCACCTGCTTCTCCCATCACTTACAAAGGAGGGAACCACAAGATGTCAGATAAACCCCAAAATTTGGGTTTTATTTTTGCATGTAACAGCAATAAAATTCCTCAGCAAACCAGCAAGTGGCATCCAGCTCCAGGCAAGCTGTTCTCTCTCGAGCTCTGCATGCTACGCAGGGTGCTGTAAGAGGTTGCAAGTCTACTCAAGGGTGCAGATAAAGTCCAGGTAGGACTTCACTGCATTGATCGAAACCACAAGGCTCCCAGGACCTAGAGGTGGGTTACAGGAAGCCCCCAGATACATAAATGGGCCCAGCCTGAGGCTCAGTTGCTGCAGGCTAGGGGAGGAAGGGCGGTCTTGCTGCTAAGACTAAGCCACACGATCCAAGGCTCAAGTTTTAACCCATCACAGAGCCAGCATGTACAATAAGCACGAAAGCCTGTGTTTTACTTAAACAGAGAATCCTAAGCCTTTTCCTTTGCTTCTCATCCATTTAACTAAGCAGTTTTCCGGGCAGGTGCTATTGGCTCAAGCATTGGACTCTGGTAACACAGACACCCCAGGGAGGCTCTTCCCAGGGAAGCACCAGCACAACGTTTGCAAGCTGCAGCCTTTGATTTCCTTCCTTTTTTCTTTTTCTTGCCTGTAAGGCAACCAAGCCACTTCGCCCATAACCCTCTGGAAAGGCACAGGACTGCTGTTCATCACATCCAGGTGTTCAGCAGCTTCCAGCTCTACGGCTCCCTTTGGTGCCGTAGCTCGTGCAAAAAAAAACAGCCTGCGGCTTCGACAAAGGCGCATCTGTCCCGGGACCCCGAGAGCTGGTCCCCTCTTTACCTTTTCTCCCATGGGGCAATAGCCTTTGAGGAAATCCTGGCACACTTCTGCCTTCCTGGACACGTAGACGTGGCTGTACGGGCAGTTGCTGTTGCTGCAGATTCCCTTCAGGAAGTAGGAGCACACTGGCATCTGCAAGGGCAGAAGATGAGAAATCCGTTAGCGTTCCCCCCGACTCGTGATTAGGAATCGTTCCAACGCCCAGAACTGAAATAAAACCGTGACATGCGTAAAATAAATATACGTCTTCTGCCAGACACTGATCCCAGAGGTATTTTTAGCTCTTCTATCGGTCTCCTGCAACGCAGCTCCGTGACATTACGTGGTCTCAGTGTATATATGCACAGGGGATGAACACGCCTGCCTTGGCATCCTTTGGGGTGCTGGAGAGAGGGTGGAAAGCATGAAACTGCCACCAGTGAGAAAACTGCCTCTGCGGTACGGGGAAGTGATGGGGCAATCGGAATAAACCCTGCTATTGCAGTGGCTGCGGTGGCACGGTGCACGTGGCAGGTTCACCTTCTGCCAACGCTCCCAACTAACCTTGAAGAGGAGAGAAGGGGCGGCTGCTCCCCAGGTTCCTCGCTGGCAAAAGGCACTAAGCTGAGCGCACCATCGCGCGGCTGAAGACCGGGAATGCCGTTCCCAAGGGGTGACGCAGTGGCTGGGATGGGAACAGCGACGCAGGGCTTGTGCCCAGCCTGGCTACCCTCTCCCATGGGGTGTTCTGGCCATCACAAGGGCCAAGACAACATCCTGGAGGTGCCCCCTCTGTTTGGGTGTAGGGTGGGTGGAGGATGCACAGCACGTGGTTAGATAAAGGGTCCAGAAGGTGGGTCTTGGTAAGGGGGTAAACAGGCACTTGCTCCTCCACAAGCATTTTTTTGGGGGGCTGCATCACACAAAGACATCAGCCCGGCACCCCCTGAGCGCTGTGAGCGATGTGATGATGCCTGTCCCTGTGTGCCAGAGGAGGGATGCTCCAGGAGGGAGGGAAAGGAGGAGAGCCCAGGCTCCTGCTGTGAGCGGAGGATACAGGGAGCAGAGCCCCATGCTCCCCTCTCCCGAGCGTTAGCAGCGGGTAAAAACGAACGAGCAAGGATCCTCATCGTCCTCAAACCACAGACTTCACCTTCTGCCAGCTGTTATAATTAAAAACAAATTACCAGCCTGCTGCAATATTTCAGCATCCTTAACTCACCGGCTACTGCAGGCAACTTCCCGACCTGAGCTGGCAGCTGCCGATGGGAAGGTGCGCTTCCCGAAGCTGCCCCGACGATCCGGCTCTTCCTGCTCAACCCCTTGCTGCTCGCCTACCCGCCGAATTTCCTTACCGCCCAGCGCAGTATCGATCCCTCCGTTCACCAGTAGCATCTCAGTCCCGCCGGTTCCAGCATCCCCAAACTAATATTTACAATTCTGCAGTAATCACAGCTGAGGCTATCCGGAAAAAATCCCTTTTCCTGAAGGGCACATTAGGGTTTTAACTAAATTGGCTCACTTGAAGCAAAGAGAGAAATAGAGAGAGGAGGGGGAAGCCGAGAGGAAAGAAAACAAAGGGTGCTTTAAAAGAGAAGAGTTTATTTTTAATTGTCTTTTAACTGCAGACATTAACATAAAGGACAGGGCTCTGGGGCTATCGTTTTTGGTGGTGGTGGTGTGACCGTAAATGATTCCCTTAATGTAGTTTTTGATATAGAGCCCAAATTAGCTCTAATAAAAAGGGATAATAAAGGCAGCTCTTCTACAAAAATAAACCCCTCCTAGCTGTCAAGCCTGAGCCATTATCAAGAGGAAGCAGCACTCTCATTTCAATTAACCTTGTTTGCACCCCACTACGTCCACACAAATAACAATAGCATTAATTCAAGGCACTGGTGCGGTGCGTCCGTATGAGACAGCTTTGACTATGTACACGCTTTGGAGCCAGCAGCTAATGAACCCGAAACTCAACGTGAATTTCCAAATTGCTCACAACAGAGTTTTGAAGCTCTATTAGGGAGAAAAATGCTGATTCTTTTCAAGTTCCTCAAGGGGAAAAGCTGTTGTAGCAGCAGCGGGCGGTTGCCCGAGTCCTAGCCTCTTGCTAACCTTCACTCGCAAACCCATTCATTCAGGTTTCCCGCTCTCTCTCAATCACCGGGATGCGCCGGTGGCTCTGCCCCGTCACTGAGAAATTCCCCCTTGTGCTGGTTTTTGTTGGGACAGAGTTAATTCTTGACATCGAAATAATCGCTTCGACAGATGCTCCTCAGCCGAGGGCTCTGCCCTGCATTCCCTGGGGGGCAACATTCCCCAACCACCAGCTTTCCCTCTCCTCCAGGCTCCTTTTTCCTTTGCCAGAGGGGTAGTTTGGTTTTCAAAAGCATCTGCAAAGCGTCGTGCCCATCTGGAGCAGCCCCCTGCCTCGGAGAGCATCCTCTGCTTGGAGCACGGGTTTTCCTGCTTAGGATGGGGGAAAGCTCCCCGCTGCTGCAAGAGCTGAACCCACGCAGCTTTTCCATGTAAAACGGAGGGATTGTTCCCATTTTGCAGTGGGGAAACTGAGTCAGGAGATCGCCCCCAAGTTGAGTAAGAGTTTTGTTGTCAATCCAATAGCTAAGATCACAAGCCCTTGGTCCTTCACCTGCTGGACCGGGTCCGGGGCCCCATCCCCAGTAAGGTTCCACCGAGGTGAGGTAAACAACGACAATAACCCGAGGATTCCCCGATGAGGAGGTTGTGGGGTTCCACCCCCCCGATAACCACAAAGTGAAATCGAGAGTCAACCAATGGGGCATCAGCAAAACCAGCAACCCCCAAACCACAAACGAGACCGCGGCGTCATTAACCACACGACGAGAATAATTCATCACATTAAAACCCCAACTCAGAGCCAAAATCCGAGGACTGGGTAGGATTCGCTCCAAAAACACTCACGAGGAGGGGAAAACGGCTGCTTTCCTCCACCGAGCAGCCTCACCTGCCTTTCTCCACCGCTGATAAATGAGGCTAATGCCACCTTTGCTAGTCATCACCCGGGTTAACAGGGAGCGACGGGAGTTGAAAAGCAAAGTCGCCTCTCGCTTTGGGTAGCAGCATCCCCGCAGCTATAAATCACCCTGAAAGAGGTTTGAACTCCGCAGAGGAGGTTGTTTCTCTTCCAGCCCGCGCTGACGACAAGGTGGCGAGCGGAGACCTCTGAACCACCCCCGGGGCACCTAATCCTGAGAAAAATAATCCTCCTTCCCCACGGAGCAGGACACACATGGTCAGAAACACGTGCTCCCAAAGCATTTGCTTCTAAGGCACGTAAGAGAGCTGGCACCTGCCTGCTTCGTTTGCAGGCTTGTTAATTTAACGACTCATCTTGGGTTTAGATGATGCTTCGGTAGCAGCGAACTGCTAAGAAAAAAGGTGAGATGGGCAGAGGCCATCTGCACCCCCCGTGGGACCCCTTCCCAGGGACCCTGTCCCCAAAATGCCATTGGCAAACCGGCTGTGCTGCAGGAGACATCAGCACAGCCACCTCCTTTTAGATTCAGTTTTATTACCACAAAGATATGTAGTTATCCTTCCCTGATTTCTACCCGGCGAGGCGCTCCTGGGGCGGAAAAGGTTGAGATTTCCGTGCCACACCACAGCCAGCGGTCCCCATTTATCCACCCAAAACAGAACCCAAGAGCCAAAAGCTTGACGTTCTCCTTGAGGCACCAAGATGCACTGGTGTTTCTGGAGGGGAAACTGAGGCCACATCCCCACTAGTAAATTAAACATGTCAAAGAATATTCCCAGGTACCGAGACCAGCTGGCACAAACCCATCTGCATCCAGTCATCGCATCCTTTGGTGGACATGGCTGTGGCCAAACCGCTGAACACCACGGCTCCTTGGCCATCTCCAACTCCCAATTATCATTCGAGCTTTTTGCCCTGGGACCAAAACCAAGCTCCAGCACCTGGTACATATGTAAGACAACAGTCCCGTGCAGTCTGCATGTGTGTCGATCCTTCGGTGCTCCCATTAGCACTTGCACATCATTTACTCGGGTGAAAAGAAGCTGCTGGCCCCATGCCCACTCCAAATCTGCATTAATTCTAAGAATTCTGGATACACCAACAGCCAGTCCCTTTGCAAAGCTTTCTCCCTTCTGTCTTCTTTATTTCTGAAGTCTAACTATATGTTACTAGAAGAAAAAAACCCCCCAAACCAGCCTTTTTTCCTTCTATCAATTCTCATGCTCATCCTTCTTTTGACATGCCACGAGTCAGGGAGTACAGCTGTCCCCAGTCTATCTTCTCTATTTTATATACTCGTGATTAAGTGACTCTGAAGAGAGATACATGTAAAAAACATATGGTGCTTTGTGCCTCGTTCAGAGCGACTCTGCTCACCGCCACGATAACTTATGAGCTCCCCACTGACAAGGAACGTGCCTTAGGCAAACGGAGGGAAAGGGAGACAAGAAAACTGCACGCCCAAAGGCAAGTGCTGTCGGAAAAGGTGCTGTCCCAGATGCTGATGAGACCCCACATCCCATGGGTTAAATCCTTTACAGGTCAGTAATTGTACTGTAATTCCCTACATGATGCTGTAGATGGGGAAAGGGGGATGGTGATGCCCAAAGGGAGTGGGGAGAAGAAGGTGCTGTAAGGACAATTCACAGGGCACGGGCTCAATAACCAAAACTCGAGTAATTAAAAGCAGCGCTTCCCCATCCGGCACGGCTCAGGCAAGCTCCGGTCCCCGCCGTGCCCCAGGCACAGCTGCAAAAGCTTTGACAAAGCTGCTGTCGACAAATGACATGCCAGAAATACAGCCAAGGGGCGGGGGGGGTGCAGACTCATCGAGCGACACGATGAAGGACTGAGCCTTACAGGCTTCTCCAAGAAAACTGATCCCTGTCTGCATCCCGCTTTCTGACATCTCCATCCCCAGAGCAGAGCCTTGACAGCAGAGCCGATCGCACAGCGCTCCCCACAAAGCGACACCACCCCGGTTGGCGTTTCCATACCCCGGTGGGATTAACCTTATTGCTGTTGTCTGGGTGATCCTTTCTCTGTAGCAGAGAAATGACCCTCCAAATCCACCCAACAAAGCCGAAATGTCAATAGGTGCTCGAAGCACACCCCAGCCCAGCAACGGACCTGCAGCTACACTTTAACCTTCACCACCAACTTCACCTCAACACCTGAGGTCTCCAAAGCTACGTCCAACCGGAGATCCTAGCCACGGAATGGAGGTTCATCTGCTGAATTGTCAACTGAGAATCACTAAAAGAAAACCTAATTATTTTCCCACCTCGGTCTGTGTAATAAAACCACGGAGCACCAAATACATCAAGAAGGTTGAAAACGATGGTGAACTCAGAAGCCGTTCTGCCGGCCGGTTTCACTGCTTGGCTTTTTAGAAAGGTTAATTTATACCTCCAAGCTCTTGTATGTTATAACATCCTCCTCCACCCCCAGCACAGAGTGATTAAGAGGGAAGAGTTATCTTACAGTGGTAGCTAAGGATTAGATGCAACTTAAACACTACTCCCCTGCTCCCTCCCTCCGATCCCCAGAGTTTAAGCACTCCTTAACCCAACGCAGCCCCAGGTCCTCTGGTTTTCAACCTGCTGCTTAACGCGTTCATCAACCGATTGTTTGCGCTGGTTGTAGAGACACCCTTTGCCCTCACAACCCCACGGTGAGCCCGAACAGCATGGCAAGCAAGGTACAAGTGAACCCCGTTGGAAGCACTCAATGAGGTAGGCTTCCCAACGACCCCCAGCATGGGTCTGCTCGCCCGTAGAGCCTCACCGCGCTCGTCGGGAAGCCATACAGACCTTGTCTTTGGACACCTTGTGGGAAAAGGAACAGGTTCCGTCCGTCTTCTTGCATGTGCCACGGAGAAACCTGCGGATACACCAGAAGGAGAGGGTTGAGCATGAGGTGGGTTGGGAAACACGCGGTTTTAAACACCAAGCATCTGTCTTGCCACACTGCCACGTTTACCCCAAGGTCACAAAACCACACGACTGCTGCTGAGGTCACTGTTAAAGCCCATTTCACACTCTAATTCTGTACAGGTTGTCGTGCTTTAACTCCGGCTAGCAAAATACCACGAACCCGCTCTCACAAATCCATCCCCCTCCCCACCTCCAGTGGAGGGGAAGAATTGGAGGAAAAAGAAATAAGGAAGCTCGTAAAATTGAGATAAGAACTATTTACTACTTAAATCTAAATTCATGCATACAAATACTACTAATAATAAATAATTAAAACAACAGAAAATAAAACATATGATACAATATGATACAATTCCTCCCCACCCACTGACCAATGCACAGCAGGTGCTGAGTAGTGGGAGTCAGACCCAGAGAGCCCAAGAGCCGCAGCCTGAGAGCGATCGCAGGCCGAGGGCCGCAGCCCCAGGGCCGGAGACTGAGCGCTGCCACAGCAGATTCCCAGCGAACCCTGTCAGCGATAGCAGCCCGGGAAAGCTAAACAAACCCACCAACTCCCTCACAAACCAGCCGGCACAGGAGTTAGCGAAGCAGCTAACGCAGGAGTCAGGGTGAGGATCAGCAAGTACACAGGAGCGAACCAGAGAGAGTAAGGGAGAGAGCAATGGCTCCCGGACCCCCGCCTCGCCTCTGCCCCGAGCATGACGTACTATGGCATGAAATACTTCCTTGGTCAGTTTGGGTCAGGTGCCTGAACTGTGTGTCCCAGCACTGCCTGTAGCGAGACAGTGAGAGCTGGGAACGCAGCTGCAGGGTCAGAAGCGGAGAAGGACCTTGAATTCAGTGCAGGCATTGCCCAGCGCTAGCTGAGAACTTATCAGTGCTGCTCTCTGCATCCAGGAAAAGCTTCATGGCAGCCAGGGTAAAGAGAGTTAACTTTCCTGGCTGAATCCAGCACACAGGTCCTTTTTCTTAGAAGAGCAGATGATGCTTCCTTTGCTCTTCCATCGTATTTGGATGCTTATTGGTAGTTAGAACAAGGCCCGTACCAGGAGGTTCAGAGATGATGCTCCCAGAAGGAGAAAGGTTCTTCCTAGAGCCCTGATTCATAGAATCACAGAATGGTTTGGGTTGGAAGGGACCTTAAAGATCATCTAGTTCCAACTCCCCTGCCATGGGCAGGGACACCTTCCATTAGACCAGGTTGCTCCAAGCCTCATCCAGCCTGGCCTTGAACACTTCCAGGGATGGGGCACCACAGCTTCTCTGGGCAACCTGTCCCAATGCCTCCCCACCCTCTCCAGGAAGAATTCCTTCCTAATATCCAATCTAAACCTCCCCACTTTCAATTTAAACCCATTACCCCTTGTCCTGTCACTACAGGCCCTTGTAAAAAGTCCCCCCCAGCTTCCTTGTAGCCCCTTCAGGTACTGGAAGGTGCTATAAGGTCTCCCCGGAGCCTTCTCTTCTCCAGGCTGAACAAGCCCAGCTCTCTCAGCCTGTCCCCATAGCAGAGGTGCTCCAGGCCTCGGACTAATCTTTGTGGCCTCCCCTGGACTTGTGTACATGAGGATGTTTGGACTCAGAAGTTTTTGTAGGAGGTACCAGTGTGACAGCAGATTAATAAAATACATGATCTCACAGGAAGAGTGCTGGTCTCAACCTCCCAAATCCAGATTCCAGGGGTACATGTTCTGAGCTGCATAACATTGCAGGGAGGTTCTGGAGCACAGAATATGCCCCCAGCTTTATAAAATCTGTGTAGATTTAGAGCTGGGCAAGGAGAGATTTGTTAAAAATAAAATCAAATTCAGATGTGAGAACCAGCTGGTTGATGGTAACTAGTTTTGCAGATGATTGCAACAGCATAGCTACATGCACCTTCTTAAAACATCCAGATCTGGAAAATAAAGGACACCCTAAAACAACAGCAGACTGAGAAAATTAAGAGACCTTAACAGAGAGTTAAAGAACGGGATTGGAGCTAGCAGGGACCGGGATAAGGAGACACAAGACCAGGACTAAATCAGCATTGTCCTCTAGTGATTCATGGAGCTGGGGCAGGATGGAGACCCAAAAGACCTCAAGAACCAGCAATTCCTAAAGTATACACGGAGCACAGCCCAAAGCCAGACTTGGCCACCAACCAAAAAGTACCCGAGTGAGGACTCAGTAGCTGACACCCCTTGTCCCTTGTGTCACCAGGAATTATCCTGACCAGATACCTCGGACACATGCGCCTTGGTGCTTGCGAGGATGTGTTACGAGAGAATGAGTGAGAGCAAGTGAAATCAGTTAAAAAACCCATAAATCACCTTTCCCTCCTATACGGTCTCCCATCAAGCTTCGTGCAACCTCCAAATGATTTCTAGCGCAGCAGTAATTTTACGGAGAAATTACTCAAGGAGTTCATCAGTGGAGCTGGCTTTTCTACACTTTTTAAACGACTAATAATATAGTTTAATCAACTGTTGGGCAGGTATAATGAGCTGGCAACATGAATCAGTTCTTCTGTAATAAATTACCAAGTCTCGTAGCCGCATGGCGTCACAGGCTGAAGGATTCGAACCTGTTGCACGGATGCGAGCGGGTCTGAGAAACGCTGCTAGAAGAAATCGCCTGGTGTGTGGTCAGGGCGGGCCCTCAAGTCACCCAGCTCAGATCTGCACCAGTTATTACCCAGGACCCACAAAATCATTCGAGTCAGGTGGTCTCTTCGGGGACTGGCTAAATGTTTTAGCCTCTAAATTCCACCTGGCAAACCCTGATGGCATCTTCAACCTGAGAGCAGTAAGTTAACAACCAAGGACTAGTATTGTGATTATATTTAAGAGATGGTGATTTGATGTTATGACTAATTCTTAAAACACCGCTCTGATTTTTAAATTTTTTTAGAGCTTCTGCACTACGATATGGAAGGTTACTTACTAGACATAAACGTCCTGGTGATGGTATCCACCTCCAAAATGTGAAATAAATATTTCTGTAATCCCTACAGGCCGTGCAGAACAACCAGAATGTGTGGATTTAACTTGGAGGCTGGTTGGGCAATGCTTTATTAGCATTAATGGGTGTAAAATGCTATGTAAATTTAGAGAAAAATTACCATAAGAGATTAAATAGATCGTGATTGTCCAGTCTAGGAAGTTTGGACAGAGAGGGGACTCTATAGCTATAAATGGTGGCTAGAAGGAGATCAGGGAATGACTATTCCATCCTTCTCAAGAACCACGAGTGCAATAGTCAAGCAGTCAGCAGAGGAAGCGCTTTTCACACAGTCCACAGGTCAGTTGTGCAACTCATTGCCATAATACCACGTGTTAACTAAATAAATTCACACTCATAAAAACCGTCTGCTGACCATGATGATGGTTTGGTAGAAACCTCTAGCAATTGACACACAAACCCTACTAGGTTGAAGGGCTTCACTGGCAGAAGCTGAGAGGTCCCAGCCAGGAGAAAGAGCCCTTCTCTGTGTGTCTCTCGCCTTTTCCTCCTCCTGTAGGTACCTGCCAACCTAACAGTGTTGGGTAGAACCTAGGCCTGACCCAGAACAGCTCTCTTCACGCTCTTACACCTCTGTTATCAGGTTGTTTCCCCAGGGAATATCACATGAGCGAGTACCAAAATCAATGAATGACTCAGTCTCCCATGATAAGCCAAAGCATGCGGCTGCTGTGTCCATCCATACCTGGTGCAGACGGCCACCTTCTCTGGATCGTGGATGTAGGGGCAGCTCTCCCCACGATTACACTTGCCGAAGCGGTTGTAGTACATACAGTATTCCTTCTTCTTTTTCTTCTGCTTGGCTTGACGAATGATGGCCAAACTTCGCTGAACAGCACGGCTAAATGAAGAAAGACAGACAGGGTCAGGTAACATCTCCAACTGCAACACAACAGTGATGTAAAGAAGACGGATTAATAGTTCCTGAAATCACAGAGGAGCCCAAGCTTCACTTTGAAGAGAGAGTGAGATATTCAGGAAGTTTGTGCTGGGTCATAAGCTCTTAGGTCATGGTGAAGCTGTGGATGCCCCATCCCTGGAAGTGTCCAAGGCCAGGCTGGATGAGGCTTGGAGCAACCTGGTCTAGTGGAAGGTGTCCCTGCCCATGGCAGGGGGGTTGCAACTGGATGGGCTTTAAGGTCCCTTCCAACCCAAACCATTCTGTGATTCTATGAGTTTTGGCCAACTTAACCCTGAATCTTTAAAAATCTGCAAGAAGAGGCCAATCTCCCAGGAAACATCTGCATTTGGTATAGACTTAACTCCATGGAGCAGGACAGGTTGTGGTCAACTGCCTGGAAAATGCCTCTGCAGAAGACAACCCTGGGGAACAACAAGGCTTCCAGGAGTCAGCCAGGTGCCCTTGATTCTATGAGTTTTGGCCAACTTAACCCTGAATCTTTAAAAATCTGCAAGAAGAGGCCAATCTCCCAGGAAACATCTGCATTTGGTATAGACTTAACTCCATGGAGCAGGACAGGTTGTGGTCAACTGCCTGGAAAATGCCTCTGCAGAAGACAACCCTGGGGAACAACAAGGCTTCCAGGAGTCAGCCAGGTGCCCTTGAT